TTGTAATATGACTATGTGTATGTACTTATTAAAATAAATATATAATTGATGTACTTACCTAAGTGTTACCGTTAATCTTTCTTCTGGACTTATAGCGTTCCTAAAGTTTGTATTCTTTTTGGTGATTTGTGGTCGCAATACCCCAAGTAGTTCGTCGAATGAATTTTTGGACATTCGGTAATATACAAAAAATTTTTTCTTGTTCGTTCGAATTTTTTCATAAAACTTCGCAAACCTATTATTAGATTCTCGCCCTGAATTAAAAGGATCAATCCAATATTGACGATATATCTGCTTTCGCAATAACCCCTCCGCCTCAAGCGCACAAACCATCTCTAACAATTGAGACATGACACTATACAGACTGCCAAAATATAGATAGCAAAAACGCATCCCGTTAGACCGGAATAGTGTGACAAGTAGATCTCATCCTGTCAAACCGCATCCGTTTTAGCGGGAGCGGTAAAAACGCATAGTGTGACACCACACTAAGGAATGGTACTATACAGGTGGGATAACTGCAGTTTACGGCGCTTCATTGTAAGCAGTCTTGAAACGTTTTCTGAAGTTCCACTTAACACTTTAAAGTGTCAGAGAGCTTTCAACTTGGTGAAATAAGATGCCCCCAAACAATTTAAATCCTTTATAAATTTTCTAATTACTTTTTTATTATCTACTTCATGTTTTTTCGAAACTTTGTAACGCAGGAATAACTTGTGAACGCTCATCTGTGCAACTGCAAATGACACGTTGTGTTATGAAACGCCTCTTAACGAAATGATACCCCTAACACTCAGTAGTTACGGATTGTTACAATACTGATGGTTGACTGTGTTATTCTTCTATCCTTTTCTTTTTCAGCGTCGTGATTAAGTATTTTCCGAACATTACCTTAATTATTACGTTTTATTTTTCACTTTACTGTAATTCAATGGTAACTCCTTGGATACGGGATACGTAAACAAGTCCATAACAACCAGGGCGTAATGAGAGGGCGTAATGAATTCATTACGCCCTCAAAATAGGTTAATTATATTCGTTCAATTTTTTTTATTAAGTCAAACTAAATACTTGTAATACAAAAGAAAGCACAATTACCCGCCAATATGAAAATTACAATTTTCAAACTTTCCCGAAAATGTAATATTTTTGTTAGAAAGGCCAGGGACGTTTATATTTTTATCTGATATGGATGACGACAGTTCCAAGTGATCATCTGAATATAATGTAACATTATTCGCGGTTTCGCCTCCAGATGAACCCACCGCGCTTGCAATAATGCTAGATATCCGATTTTTGGAAATTAGGCTATCTTCTACGTAACTCTGCGCAACCGTGTTACTCTTCCACTTGCCGTGCATTTTCAGGGTTTCAAAACTTGCTCCTGCTTCAACCAAAAGAGTGGCTGACGTTCGTCTCAAGCAGTGACCGGTAAATTGATGAGGGTTATCTAACTTTAAGTATTTGGCAATTATATTTAGGACACTTCCTATGGTGTTTTTTTCCGACAGGTTGCACTATGCAACAACCTTTCCTATATGTGAGGAAAAATCGGCGTTCTTTCGTATGCTTTGGTCTTAGTGCTAGGTATTGTCGAACTAACTTAAGAGCATTTATTTCTTCTTCCTCCACGATTGTAAAACCTTTAGACGTACCTGTTTTAATCTCTGGCACGTTTACAATTACAACAGATCCTTTATCGGTGATATCGTCAATACACATTTTGACCATTTCATCCCTTCGTAATCCACCAAAAACACCCATCACCAAAACTACTTTATGCAAAAGCTAAATATCGTTAGGGGCACGTTTGATAAACTCAAAAACTTGATCTCCTGTTAAAACCTGTGATTTTTTTGGTTTATATCCCTTCGATTTGACTTTTAAAAAGTAAATTAGTTGATTATAATTTGAAATGTCAGTTTTCTTTTTAACTATGAAAGTTGATTTCAAAAGAGAGTATTTGGTCCATAGCGACGTAGGAGTGTATTTCTCAGACTAAAACAAAATGTATTATCAATAATTTTGCACATTTAGGTAGGTATATGTAAAACTTACCAGTTCCTGAAAGTACGACAATAGCACGGTCTCATTTATAGTAAATATTTTATGTTTTGATTGCCAAGCTGTAAATGTTTCGAATTCTTTTTCGTACTTCTCCTTTGATTTAAGGGGTAGCAAAGTTTCTGTTGCCTTTTGCGCATTTTCTTGAACAAATTTTGGTAGCGTATTCATCTTTATTGCAATTGGAAAGCAAACTTGACGTTTCTAAGTAAACAGTTTATTTTGTTTCATAGACTACCATATTATTGTATTGGTATTTACGGAAAGAACGCGTTTGCCTCAGCAAAAGCAAGTAACTAATTCTGGATTGTTTTTTAAGAATAAAGTGAAAAATAAAATCTTGTATGCACCACGGCGACGTTACCAGATGATTACGCCCATCGTTCTCCGGGCGTAATCATCCTAGTAACGCCCTTGGTGCATAAATAGCTATTACTTCCAACTAGCTCAGGTACTTAAATAAATGGGTTAATAATAGGGGATAATTTAGTTAATTTCGTTTTTACAGGTATTTCGTTAATGTCAACAACTTGTAATCAAAATTTAAACCAAAAACTTTGGTCGTTGGTGGTAGTTCGTGAAATTTAATAAAGGCGCATCACTCTGATTGCTTCTTCGGAATTTTCCACACCGCGGTATACTTGGGAAACGATGATTCTCTCACGCTTAACGACAAGTTTATTGGGCACTATAATACGACTTCGAACACTCACTTTACTCCACACTTTTTACTGTTATATTACTACCCTAAAACTAACAATGGGCTTAAGGCGCATTCAATTTATTTCGCACCGTTAAAAATGAGGCGCTATGTGTATTCTATCCTGTCTCAAAGCGAATCCAACCTCATGTGCTAATCATACACTTATACATTATATACAGCTAATTACAGGGCCAGGCTAAAAAGCATTATGTGTATAATTGAAAATATTTACTTCACGGTGATTCTTTGTAAATTTTCTCTCTTATATAAGATTATCTTATTAATTTATTATTATAAGATATTTTAATATAATTAGAGAAAAAATTTAAAATAGAAACACTGCCCTAGTCATTGGCAGTACCTATAATAAGTTTGAAAAAAAAATCAGCTTCATTCATCCAACTGTAACCTAGTTATATCCGTAGAAAGTTCGTAAAAAGAAACCTACTAAAAATTGTTTTTACGGAGTTATCAAATGCAATTTTTTTAAGAGCTTTTTTTTCATTTGGTGTATAACTTATTTTTTCAAAAAACAACCACTGGTACCGCAAGAAGGTTAAAATTTTGATCACTCTTGTTCAGTGGATTTCGAGCTCCCCTACACCTGGGGCCTGTAACACAAGCCGTACAAGTCCTACAATTGTTAGAAAATATTTTTTGTAGTTACAGTTACACTTACAGGCAGATTACTTGTAACTTGTGTCCCTGGTAGTGGCTAAAAGGCGTGAGGCGCCTATGGAATCGATTACCATTGTTGTACTTTTTGACAATACTGTCTTGAATCGATCGAATTGAAAATTCCGGTACATTTATTCATAACCCTTATTTAAAATAAATTCGAATAGTTTTTCCAAATGGTGGGAGGGCTGCAAGATTTGTTTTGTTTGTTTATTTATTTAAAAAATAAAAAATGAAATCAGTTCTTCTGTCAACTTGGAAGCGAACCTAATGAATTCAGATGACTGGACCTTGTATCAATTCCCAGGATCGCTCGGTAAATTACCTACCTGAAACGAGGTCAACAACACATACCCCAATATTCAAAAATTAGTAGTTGAATCACCCAAGGCTCATCCTATCTTTTTGTATCCTGTTAAGAAAGTATAGCTTTTGTTTACTTTTAGGTGCTATTTATAGTTATTTAAGGTATCAGGGCGTTATGAACTAAATAACGCCCCAGGTCAACAGTGTAGAACCCGAGGGCCTTCGGCCCGAGGGTTAACGTTGACCGTGGGCGTTGTGTTCATAACGCCCGTGGTGCCTTCAACGTTTTATGTCATACTTGATGATTTTCAAGAATTAGCGGTGCCCGATGATTAAAAGAGAAGATAATGAGAATCATCAAAATTAAGTTATCCATGGTCGTAACCGAGGTCGTAACTATGGAGATAGATATATTTGTCAAAGTCAAACATTCTAAAAACTGTCTGAAAAATGGCAGACGAAGCGTCTCATTTACTGGCACACGTTCTTGCGCGAGCCGCAAAAGCGAATGAAGCCGTGCCACAAAAATCGAAATCCTCTTATGAAAAAGAGTAGTAGGTACGCTATTTTTGCAAAATGGATGGTGAGTACCTAATTCTGTGGAGACAATAAACGAAACCGTTATATTGGGTTACTTCCAAGAGTCGGTAGTTTAAGTCTATGGTTTAAGTAATTTTATTAGTCATTAAACGGAGAGGTAATTTACACTCAGAGTCATTTTCTCCCAATTCGCTTTGGACGAAATGGTCAATGCTATACCTAAAGAGTTAATGGTAATGAAGAAGATTAAGAGTTTCGAAAAATTTGTGCATCTAAAAGGGTATTTAAAACAAGTTCAGGAAAGCTATCGTCCAAAAAAATCAAAAATCCTTACTTGCGAACAGATAGTCGCCTTCCTTACAGAAGCACCTGATCCGCAGTATCTGATCTACAAAGAGGAAAGAAAATGTATGGGTCTGGGCCAAGCTGGTGCGGTGTTCTCTGGACAGTCCCAGAATTGTTCTTTTTTACTTCAAAATAACAGTAGGATAATGCGACATCAACACAGTTCGTTTTATTCAGTTGTTGAAAATAAAAAGTGTGTACAGATTCATTATTCCATATTTATAGGATTTACAGAAATAACGCCCTTGGGCGTTATAGAAATAACGCCCGTTGCTACGCATAATTGGGGTTGTCATGGTGGAGTGCATTATTTGTCATTTAATGTATCTTGATTTAGGATTATTATAACTGAATAATAATCAAGTATGACATAAAAAAACAAAAAATCGTGTATTTAAACAATAGTGTAAATATAAAAAATAATTGATCCGAATTATAAACGTAATGTTATCGAACTGCGCATTCAAATAGTGTTGCAGTTTCATAATAAGGACACATCAAACAGTTTTAAATGGAATTGCCTCTACTTCGTGTAGTCCTTTCTCTTGTGCCTTAATGCTTTTATAAAAACTGATGGTACAGATGAACGCATATCCATGAGTACCTGTAACCGAAATTTTAATAAAACACGTCACGACCTACATTAAAGCCTTACCGCAAGAAATAAGAGCTTGAAAAATGTACCATGGTGTTTGTAGTGCACTCATTAAAATTCCAGACACTACTAGGAGAACGAATTCTAGGATAAGCAAAAACATGTAGGGGTACACTAACATTGACCGTCTCTGTAAAATGTTGCAATTTTTCCCAAAGGTTTGGTCACATAATCAAATACCTCTGCTATTCCTTTTAAGGCGACTACTAAAATTAGGACAGACCAAACCAACCATCCAAATATGGCTCCCAATATTGTACTCATCACTGCGCTGAGTACTTTTTCGCGTCCCGTGTCAGCAATAGTATCTGGTATCCAATACAAGCCACACATTATTCCTAATCTAAGAATCTGAAAAAAGAGGAAAAATATATGTAAAAAAGCGTTTTTAATCTCATTGTTAATGTAAACTCATAACAAATCTATTCCGTTTTGTTTGGCATTTACCCGTGTAGGGGCGGGGAAGAATAACCCTACTGCAGAGACACTGCATGTCGTAAGAGGCGACTAACCAACAGTGGGTCAACTGTTACCTAGGTTGTTGGTCAGGGGTGACTAAGAAGGAGATGATACTGATAGTGACTATTTTCTTATTAGTCGATTTTGATTTATTCGGTGAGGAGACGACTCATCTACAGGTCACAGCTATGGAACCGTGTTGTTGCCGTATATAAGCTGTTTTGATTTCACTTTTTTTTTAGGTATAAAAGCAATGTTTTCATTTTAGGTCCGAATGGAAAGATTTGTTGGTTCCAGGGGCACATGATGCACTAAACATAAGCTACTTAAGCAGATTGCAAAACTTCTTTAGGAGTCGAAACGTTATTTGTCCAATGGTTCGGGGCCCGGTATCTCTCAATCATCTTAAATATTGGCTTTAGTGAACCGTTTGTTCTTATGAATCTTTTCTTCTTCAAAAAGTGGTTGATTCCCTAGTTGTTTGTAGAGGTAGGTGGTATTAAATTAAGTCCAAGGAGTTTCCGCGTAAATAACATGAAATCAGCAGCTTCGTTATGCATCGATTCCGTATCAGATCTCCATTCGGTTATTACGCAGGTTTGGAGGATATAGATGGAGTTGTTAAAAGAGTTCTGTGTCAAAAGTCGGCTCCGTGACGTACCAGCATAGGATTTGGAAAGGTGGGGAATATCAGTACTAACATTGATTATATTCATGGTGTGTATAATCAATGGTACTAATAAGTACAATGTTTTTTTCTTTTTCTTCTACCAGGAGATATCTAAGTGGTATAAGAAATGCGTACATAAGTATAATACCTAAACTACGTAAAAAGAGAGGTATTTATCTTACCAACTGAATAACTGTCCAACTGTAAACTCCATATTTTAAACTCCAACAAAAGAAACATTTCTGTACTATCATTTTGTTGATAACTATCTAGTGCCTGACACAAGAATCTAAAAAAAACAACAATGGAACAAAATAATTACAGGTAGGTACCATACAAGGTAGAGAAATGTCATATTACATTATAAACTTGTACATAGTGAAAACCCCCAATAAAGTTTGCTGTATAAATGAAGTTTTTGATACTTGTAATATTAGAGTAGTAGGTTGAGAAGGTACCTAAATTTGAAAGTTATTTTGAAGTGACGTCTTAATGAGAAACAATTAAAAAATTGTTTAACCAACTCACCTGTTTACTAATCGTCGTCTCAATCGCATCGTGATTGTTGTGTAATTGTAACAACCACAGCACTTTCTTCTCGATCTTGATCTTTCTCCGGGGATTTCATTTTAGCATTATCCAACATGGAACTTCCTTTTTCCCAGCTGACAAGGGATTATGTATATGGAAATGCTTGGTTCAACTAGAGTTTGCTCCATATTTGATAGACAAAGTGATTATGGCGCTAAAGACACTTTGCAATTTCATACGCCATATTTAGGTGGCTGAATATGAATGCCAGAATATGAATATAATTATAGTCCAGTCAAATTAGTTCCAAAAGTAGTCTAAACTGTATGTTGTTATTCAGTCCAGCTCAACGAAACCAAGCGTATATTCTATGTAAAAAACATACGCTGAATCCGAAAATAATAGTCCCCCTGGCCGTAACCTCCTGTTATAAACAAAAAAACGAAGGAAAAGTGGGAAAATGTCGTTTTTGTTTGCATTTGACTTCAACTACCTTGACTACTGCTCTAAGGGAAAAAATGAAGAGAAATGAATTTGTTTAGAATCGAATTTTCTAAAATGATCAAAGTCCTCGTGTGAGATCGAAGGGACTTCAGCGCATTTTTGTGTGGCAGATCAGTGTTTTATTAGCCAATATTGACTCCACCATCAATAAGATCTTGCCGAAAGCTACCACGTTCACTTTGTCGGTACCATTTTCTCACTTACCGTGCACTCGCAATTCGCGTTTGAAGTTTTGACTCCACCAACATTAAAATCTTTTGGGGGTTACCATATTCCCTTTGTCGACACCCACTTCTGATCACCCGCAACAATTCGGATTTGAAGTTTCGACTCCACCATCAGTAAGATCTCGTCGGGGGTTACCACATTCCCTTTGTCGATACACAGTTCCGACGTCCCGTTCATTCGTAATTCACATTTTGGTAGATTTCGCTAAAATCCCGGCATAAAATCGTATTCAACTTTTGGGTACTTCACATAGCTCGACCTTCTATTAGTGACACGAGAAAGAGAGACCGCGATTCGCGCTGTAAGAAACTTTTGGGCGCCCAAAGTCGACTACCCCTCGAAGCGCGCCGCGCAAAAGATGGTTTATTTCGCCCCTAGGAAAAAAAAACGCAGGAGTTGTGCGCGTTGACAAGATCTTCCCGACGACACCAATTTGAAAACAATCGGAGAAAAACTGTAGAAGAAGATAGATAAAAACTGAAAAATCTCCAGGTTAGTATAATACGCTCGGGGATGGCGTCCAGATGTCGTCGACTCCAAATCTTGTAGCCCCATCCCTAACGTTCTTAATTACACGGCCCCGATAGTTACATGTACACTCCTTGTCTTTTTACAAGCGTTTTTCTACGGGCGCGCATTTACTGCCAGCCAGCCAGCCAGCCAAAGTGAGATTAAAAGCTACTTTTTACAAAAAAAATTTTTTGCAAAAATGCGCTAATAAGATGGAGTTGGCAAGGAACGTTCATTTTCAAATCTTATTGTTTTTTATGGAAAAATGTAGAAAAGTAATCCCGAAAATTAACAATTGGTTATTACTAAGTCAAATTCATTCCATCTTTTTGAAAATCCGTATTCGATCACTTCTTTTGATATCAAAACAATATTACAAACATGATCACCGTAGGTTGTAGTCATCGAGTAATTCAATAAACAAATTTTAAAAATGATGCTTTGTTTTTCAAACTAGATGACCCCCAGAGCGTCCTCAATTTTTTTTTAGGTGGTGGTACTCTAAAATGCTCCTTTCCAAAAATTGTCCGGATGATTCTTGCAAATCGACGGACTTTTTTTCAAAATCCGTAGAATTTTCTGTTATCAAATGGAATGTAATTTTACTAAAAGGGACGCATAAATATTTTTATCAGGTCCAAGGGCTGTTACGCATAACACAGCAAGATCTTTGTTATTTTTTAATATTTTCAAAAGGTGAAATGCACGTGGAAGAAATAAGAAGGTTTGTTTTGTATATATTCGAGTTATTATATAGTCATTCTTATCTTTGCAGACGATTACCTAATTTTGGACACAAAAAATTGAATCTAAATTAACCACTTTCTATGAATCCATTGCTGCCTGAACTGATTGATTCCAGAAGAACTCCGCAATTAGACATTGAAGAGGTATATTTACCATAAAATCGAAAAAGAGAAGAAACGGGAAGCTTCCTCAAGAACACCTTGTTTTTATGTATTATTTATTTTTGTGCATTATTTTCCTACACTTAGAATGTTAATAACTAAATAATGCACGCGTATTAAAATGTAACACCTAAATTTTGGTTCTGTTCACTTTATTAATTGCCAACAGATACTACTAATTTTACCAAATTTAAATAGGTTATAGTTTAAAAGATAACCTCAACATAGTTGGGATCGCTTAGCGTATCTCAAATTTTATTAAAGTCGGAAGAATAGTTTAGAAGTTTACTTACACATGTTATACGTAGGTACACTAAATTGTATATACTTATTAATTGCGTAGCAACTAATACAAATTATAAAAGGAAATGAATAAGACCTAACATTTAAATAATAAAACAATGACTGTTCACCTTCGTTTGTTAATTGATTACAAAAACCACAACATTTATAAACTGGCATTTATTTGGGTAATACCTTAGTGTAAAATACCTATCTTAGATTAAATGTAACAAAATTGTTGACGATAACCAATTAAACATTTTTAGGCGAAACGTCTTCCATTTGCACTTTGCTTTTGTGATCACGCTTAATAAGTCTATATAAACTTATAAACCATATGAGGGTGAACATATTGATGACTGAAAAAAAGTTAATTAAAAAAAATTAGGCAGTATGAATAGAATCTTACTCAGTATACAGAAAAATTCAATAATATGCCAAGTTGTGCTGCTTATGGATAAAACCACCGAAAGAAGCAGTATTAGTCCAATTTCTAAAATCAGCACAACGATATAGGGGTAAAATAGCATATGGCGTTTCTGAAAAAAAACTATCAAATGGAGGCGTTCAAGTAGGAATGGTACCTCGACAATTCCTTTCAGAGCGACTATCAAAAATAGTGAAGCTATGATTTCCCACCCAAATACGCTTCCAAACAAAGCAGCTAACAATTCAGGCCATTTATCATAATAAGTGAGGGCCGGCGAGAAATGGGCAGCAAATGCGATTATGAATCTAAACAGCTGAAACAAATGGAAATTTGAATAGGTCGTGATGTATCTATCTTGTCATTAGGACGATATATCTCAACAATGCACATATGTATGTACAAAATTGTCTGATAGTTATAATAAAGAAGTAGGTATATACAAATATATACATAGGTATACCTTTGTGGTTTAATTTATAGGTATAATTATGTTAAACAAAATGGAGCGGTTCAGGGATTGCAACTAAATTGTTTCGTTTGGGATCGTGCCCCCAGAAGAAACGAGCTTTAAAAATACTTTTTTGTATTCTTACATCAAACAGATAAAAAATTGCGTTTATCATTATTCTATTATTTCGCAAATTCCTAATCAAAGATGATTTTGACGAAATTTGGTGTGGGATTTTTGAATATGAAAATAAAAAAAATCCATATTTACTGTTTAGGCAAGCAAAGCAAGCTGTCAATCATTTCAGTCGAATTCTTTTTGGAATTTTTCATTTTGTATTTTTTATTTTCTGACAACAAATTTCGCCGAGATTGTTACGATGGTAGCGATTTTACGGATCCAAAATCTAGCTCCATTTTGCTATGATCGCCGAGAAAAAAAGGAAGATTTCTTTAACAATGCATTCAGACAAGAGACAACCCATTATGTGACTATTGAGTTAAACCTTGCATTGTGCATTTATCTAAACATTAAGAGCTCTTACCAAAGTAATAATCCCCCAAGTGTAAACGCCATATTTTAAACTACAACAACAGCAACACTTGTTTAAAAACATTTTATTGGAGAAATTCGTGTACTTGTAGATTCTGAAAAGATACCTATTGAGATAACCCATTGTCTATAATATTCGCGTACACACTGAGAAGATACCCAAATTTCGCAGTTTTTCGAGACGTCAATAACTTCTTCTGGATGCCTATGCCAAATGTTTCTGCAAGCGATTGGTAAAAACGCAATTCTTTATTTAACAACGGCAGATAAACTATTATCGACTAAAGAATAGGTGACTAATAATGACCGACTGAAGTTTCAGTTTCGGCGAGTTTCGGTCAAATTTGCTGGTTTCGATATCATTCGAGACCTTTTCCCGTATCTATACCTATAGGTACAATATTACAAAATGCTTTACGTATAAAAAAGTGTTTACTGATCGAAAACCAATTTCCTTGATCCAAATTTTGGCAGGTCATTCTTTAGCCTACCACATTGGCAATCTAATGACTCCTGTCATCACTGACACATTGATATTAATGAAACATTCTTATGATAATGCTACATTAAAAAGTAAAACGTAATACAACATCGCCAGTAAAGTGATACTACCTGAATCGGAAATTAATGTACTCGGCCCCAAAGGGACCTCGTACTTAAATATTTCCTAACTTATATGTAAATAACCGAAGCAAATAGTTTCAAAATCTATTGCCACAAGACCTTGCTAGAAGTGCAAGTAGGTACAAGAAATATCTTGCAGTGAGTGTTTCTTGTCTTGTCTTGCAAAGGTTCTCCTTGTCTTGTCTTGCTATGCCATGCAAGAAGAAAAATCACTTCTTGTCTGGCGCAAGACAAGACAAAAAGCAAGAATTCTTGCTTCTCGTGAAAATCAC